AACTATTTTTCATTTGCAGTTCTCTTCAGTTGCACCTCATATGTACAAATTCTTACAGAAAAGCATCTTTTGTTCCAGTGACACAGTCATGGAAGAAGCACTCAATTTACATTTACTTCCAGTTTGGAGTACTGTGAAATAGATGTCTTTAGACTTTGTATAATGTGTGTCCATTATTGACTTTGGATTCCAGCTTGGCTGGATATAGATAATATCATGGATGAACTGCTCTTTCTAATTCCTTGGGAGAACTATATGAACTGTTGGTGTTGTATCTCTAGACTATTTATCCACTAGTAGTCCTTCCAACCTCATCAGTGATGTGTTTGCTACCATGGCCCTGTTGAAGCAATAGCATAGTGGGAGGAAAGAGGGGAGAAACAGCTCTCCAGCAACACTTGTTCAGCTTGAACTCTTGGAGGTATTGGCCTTATTCATGTCTTTCTATGAGTTGCTTTGATCCTGGCATGGTGAATGTAGGATTACATCTATCCTGCTTGCAACTGAACAGTTCCACAAAAGTTATCATGGAGACTCGTCATGAGCCTTTTGTCTCTGTGCCAAAACTTCACGGAGTCAATTACCAACTACCTTGAATGAAAGGTAAAAACCTTACATTAGAATAAGGCACCCACTTGAAAGATCAAGAAATCAGGCTATTGATTTCAAGGAGCTCTGCTCCTGAAACATCTCCATTGTCATTTAGGTTCGCCTTCTGAGCCTAAATCTATATGAGATTAAAAAAAATCTGCCCAAAGAGTATATGATGCTTTTGAGATCCTTCTCAAGATGTGATGTGGATGACTTTTGTAGCCCAGGTTCTACCAAGAGCACCAAAGACTAATGTGCATTTGCTGCTTGTATTGTCTTTAACTCAGGCCAAAAGTTTACCTAGCTAATGACACTGACTGTTTAATAATAATTTGTTTCAAAACTTGTAATTGCACTTTGTTACAAACCAAGATTCCTACCTCTTGGGGTCTTTCCCTTCAACTGTGTAGACCTAAATATAGTCAAAGAATCATGGCTGCACTGTCAGGTTATCTTAGAGGAAGTGGAACATTTTTCTAGCTTTTTTTTGGTTGTTGGGTTTTGTTTTTTGCAAAAGAGTGTTTTGTCTTTAAACCCCAGGGTACAAAGACTAGCTGTTAGGGGTTCTCCATGTATGCATGATGACCTGCTCTTTCAGCTTCCTTGTTTATTTAGATGATGGATATTTCTTTGCTAAATGCAATGCCTGTTTGTAATGCCCGCAAGACAAGATCTTTAGTCACCAGAAAACCTCCTGCAGCAGTGTTAAGTGTTCAGTTTGCAAGTAAAACTTGTCAGGCCGTCTTGTGTCATATATTGACCTGCTCTTCAGGAATGATGAGTAGCATGAACAGAAAGGTGATGCAACAGCCTCCCCTCAGTATCAGAAAGCTCTTGGTTATTGGCTGTGGGCTCTATAGGTTCCGGACTCTACAGTCTGGAACTTGCAGAATCTAGTCTGCCTGTCTGCAGGGTTAAATAAACCACACCACCAGATTGTGCCTTGAAGATCAGGTCCAACAATACTGGTGTCTGCTGTAGGAGCTCCTAACCTTGATCTCATCAGCTCAGGACACAGTAAAAGGTGTGTGCTACTCTCCTTCTAGTGACAGCTTGACTCCTAGGCTGTCTCCTGATTTCTTGGAGTTTAGATTGCCTAGCTTCTAACAAATACTTGATTTCACATTCCAGAGATTGCTTTTTTCTAATTTAGAAGATATTTCACTTTCATGAATTTCCTGGAAAGCAATTCAGAATGACTGTATCTGCTGCAGAAACTGTTGAGCTGTAAGGTGTTCTGCATAGTTAGGATTGTGTGTAACATTCATATTGGGAAGAAGAAGATTGTCAGAGTGATGGGAGTTACTTAAAAGGAGCAAGAAAGTCTGTACAAGGTGCACTCATCAGGACAGCTTGGTATGGTTATGTATCTTCCTGATGCTTTTCTGGAGCTGAGCTAGATCCCTAGGTCTCGTACTTCTTGTCTTGGACTAGCTGCATGAATTGGAGCAATTCAGTTTATTCATTAGCTGTATTAAATTTTGTTTAGGGACAGATCTTGCTTATCTTTCCAGGGGAAGTTTCTTGATATTTTTCAGTTCTGCTGCAGCCAGTGTCATAAAGCATTTAAGGAAAATAGCATCTCCAGGATGACAAGCAGGTTTTTGTCTTTTGATGTTTCCAGGACTGAGCCTTGCTCCCTAAGACTGCTCTTCTCCACTGCTGAGAGGTCAGAGCACGGTTAGCTCTGCACAAGTGCTGTTGAGGTGGTAATGAATTTTATGAGTTTACGCTGTGAAACTTCTGAGGTAGGGTTGTCTAAGGAATCTGAGCGAGCCTATTAGTGCTCAAGTTCTGTTGGTGGCCTTGTCTGAAAGATGGCCTCATCTTTGACATCAAGGGCCATCACTGAGCACTGTGCCATTGGTGAATTCTCAGGAAACCATGCTCCTCTTGACAGGGTATATTCCTCTTGGTGTGGAAATATGTAATTTGCTTCAAGATAGCTGTGTTTTGTGGGAAGTGCTTGGGGGAGTCTCCCAGAGTTAAAGGTGAGCTTGTGAATTATCGCTCAAGACTGTTTACTGGTAAGTACCTTCTAAATGTGTGCCTTTCAGTGTGTAGTGTGTCTGCACACATCATACAACTGTGTTGGAAAATAACCTTATTAAGCTAACAAATAGGTTTAAGGAGATGCCTTTTCCTAAAAGAGCAGCTTAACACTGAGGTGTAGTTTGCAGTTCAGATGCATGTTACAATCAAGGAGGGGAGTGGAAAGGTGCCTTTAAAAAGGTGTTCTTTGACTTCACCCAAACAAGTTAGTTTAAATACAGTGGTGGAGAGTTTGACACCACATTTAAATGTTTCTGAGTGCTGTTGGCTCTCAGAGGTTGATGGGTGATCAAGGTAAGTCCTACCTATGTTGCTGTCCCAGCTTTTGTCGTCAGCAAGGGAGCCCTCACCAGCAGTCCTATCAGGAGTGGCACATTTTCATAACAGTAATTTGCTTTAATAAAACTTCAGCAGATTCTGGTCCAGCCTTTGAATAGAAATTTAATTTAAAAGTAAAAAAACCCAACGCGTGAAAGAACATATTTTAGAACATGTTTGCTCTTAAGAACTGCAGCAGGATTTTGAGATATCATGTGAACTTTCCATGATCTGTTAAGTACATGTAACTGAAATTAAATGTGAGTTGATGGGATGTTTTTCTCATGTGATTGTGCTTCTGTATAAAACAAAAAGAATCCTGAATTGGCTTCTGTTTCTTCATTGGTAAACAGATTTTTAATAGATTCAGGTTCCTGTTCTGTGATCTGACATCACGAAGCACCAATAAATGTTCTTTTGTTTATTTGTGTGTGTGCTGGAGAGAGAGAAGCAAAGAAAAAAAAGGCTATGTGGAATTGAATTGGAGGGTAGAACATCTTAGTAAAAGAACCTTAACCCATCGTTATAAAGGAGGGGTAGTATCTGCATTTTCCTTTGTAAGTAGGTGCCTGTAGAATGGATGCATTCTTTGAACCTGTTGCTTTTCAAACCTGTTGTATGCACTAGTGATGTCAGAAGCAGTATGTCTTAATGACTGCTCAGTTGAGGTACCTTTCTGTTACTAAGTGTCTTGCTGACATTTGAACGGAGTTAATTTTTAGCCAGTGTTCATCTCCCTCCCTTCCAACTTCAGTAGAAAGTAAAGCTTGTTTCACTGTGATTTGGATGCTCTTCTGTGTATTGGGCCTTAGGTCACTGGTGGGAAATAGAGCTGTCCAGTGTATTAGGTGAAGCCTCTTTCTTTCAGGTGATGCTGATTTGGGAACTTGTAAGAAATAAAAACTTGTTTTTATTTGTGGGGCAGCATCCAAGTTAGTTTTGTCAGTGCAGATTTTAGTTAGTGGGAGAGGACTTTGAGTCTCTTTTCTCCATTATTAATTACTACCTGTGTCTCAGGTTGTTTCTTGTCATATACATTAGTACAAGAGGTACAAGAGTTGTTTCAAGCCTTTGAGTTACTGCTTTGATGTGTGAGAGGCATTGTTGATTTTGGGTTTGTTTCCTCCTCCCCTGCCTTGGTATTGGAGGTGAATCCCGTGCAGTAATTTTAAAATTTCTGCGAACAGGCTACATTTTCTCCACTGTGTTTTGTGAGTTCTTTGTGAAGTAGTTTGTGCCCTTTTCTGTTTATGGACTCAGGTTCAAAAGTGTTGTTTTGGTAACTCTCACGTCTGATTTATTCATTACTGTATGACTTGATTTGATCTGTTTTTGACACATTTAAAATACCATCACTAGGGAGGAAGCTGTCAGTGATGTCTGACAGGACAATCCTGAGATTCTGTCGAAAAGTCCTTGCATGAAGTTTCGCAAGCAGAATACAAAGTTACATTGCCTTTATGTAAAAAAGTAATATCAAATAGCGTAAGTGCTTGTTTTAGTTACCTTTTAGAACTGCAAATGAAGAGCTAAAACCGATGAGGAGTTTGCCTCTGAAGCTTAAAAGCAGATAAAACCATTAGACACTGCAGTGCTTAGCAAAGCAGTTGTTGAAGGCAGTGAAACATCTTTAAATGCCTTTAGCCTCCCTGTAGGAGATGAAAAAAATTTATCAAATACCTTTTTCATGTTTACCTTGTACCAGTTGGTGAAAACTTGGAGAAAATGCAGGAAAATAAGTGGAAAACTAAAAAGCAAGAGAGTCTGTTTCCCAGAAAATGACTGTCCTGCTGTTCTAGATCACCATGTAGAGAGAGGCCCTAGAACTAATCTCTTCTATTCATTGGCTCTGAGCCACACATTTAGTGTTGAATACTAAAAACTTTGAATACCTGTGGCCTTCTCTTTTAGCCAGTATATGTTAAGTTTACTTCTATAAACATTTTAAGGTGCAAATTTTATTCCTTCCATATCCAATTCCTATTTCTGTAAAACAAACATTGCTCAATAAGGAAGATGAGTTGAAACAAAAAATAGAAAAAGAGATTCTGCATGTACAGTTGCATATAAAAAGTGATGTCATTACTTAAGTGTTTGCGTAGTATATATTTCTGATTAATAATGTTTTTACACTGAATTTGGTAATAAATCTGTGTACTTGAAAGGCAGCATATTTTATAGTTGCCAACCTATGAAAATCAACATTTCTTCAGGAAAACAGTAGTACAAATGCAATGCAGAATGAAAAGCTTTCAAATACAGTTCACAAACTAAAATTAGCTGTTTCAAATAGCAGTGATTTTAAATTAGTTTGCTCAGAGTGGCATAAATTTTATTAATCAAATGTTGAAGTTCTTCGGGGTTTTATGCTGTTGTTGCTGTCTTGTCATAATGTTGTGCATCAAAATAGAAACCAGTTCCATGCCTTGACCTATTGCTTTGCACTTCCTCACCTGATTCCTCTCCCCAGAACAGCAGTAGGAAGGTGAAATAATCTGTCTAGAACAAGTTGAAGACTGGGCCATATTGTGTTGCAGAGCAGTGAATAAGCAGCAATGTATGCTAACAGCTAAAACCCAACTGTGTTTTTTATTCTGGCCCTGTGGCCAGCTGGCACCGAGTGAAAGCCTCTGACCTTCCAAACTAGACTGGACATGTCCTAGCTGCCTGTGGGTCCCAGGTCCATGCTGACACCTGAGACTTGCTTGGAAGCACCCAGAGAGTGGGAGGTGGCTGGGTCAGTGCTGCTCTCTAATGGGGACTTGGTGGGCTCCTTCAGCACCGCTTCCCGTAGGAGTGTGGACTTGGCCTCCGTGTCCTAGGGCATAATAACTTGCTGACAAGGCAGCCAGGAGGTGAATGAATGCTGCTGCTGTCTGAGGTCACTGCCTGTCTGCTTTATCCCTTGGCCACTATTTCAGATGCCAGTTGGTACAGGCTGCAAGGTAATATATCTTTTCCACAAGATTTATTTGAATACTTTGTAAAATAATAAGGCAGTTACTGTCTTGAGGGCAGGTTTTACTGAGATATGGAGGCATTTGTTGCCTTGGACCTTGTTAATGATCTAAACAAGTGCTTCCGTTAGTCCATAGTGAAGATCAAGGCCTGAAGTTAAGAAAAAAAAATGACCAGAATACTAAGTGTCCATTTCAATTGAGAAATAGATACATAATTGTGTTAGCTGGAACATGTTTTTAAAAAAAATCTGGAATATTGAAGATTTTAGGACTGAGATAGAGCCAGTCCAGTAAAAATAAATCTCATCTGATCCTACCATGTAAAAGCTGTGTGTAGGAGGTTCCAATTTAGTTGTGTTTGTAGAAGTAGTCTTAATATTGTTACACTCTGATACGAGGAATAGGTATTTAACTGTGTAATTTTTTTTGCATTCAGTTATATGCAAAGCTGTCTTATAAATTATTAGTAAAAATTTGAAACCTCTTGCTGAGTTTATTTTGGTGTAATTCCATGAACTTGTTGCAACATACTATGTGTTGAGGTAAAAAAGTGCTACCAGAATTAGTGAAATCCATATTTATTATTGATAGTGGGATTTAACAGCTAGAAACAAAAGGAGCAGCACCATGAGGCTGTGCAGTGCAGTGGTAGCCTTGAACCGCAATTCTTGTAACTTTTAAGATGTAAACAAGTTCATTTTGACATTTGAAATAATTTTTATTCTGGATGGAAAGATGAACTGAGGGAAGGAAGAAACATTTACTTACCTTTTTCTTACTTTAGGATGAAAATAGTATTTGCAGTTACTTCCTCGTACCTAGTGTATGAAATATGTGTCTACGAATACCTGGAGAGTTAGTTTAAGAGGTCAGCTAAAATGTTGCATTAAGTCCATTAGTGCACTGGTGTAAAAAAGTTAATTTCCTAGTAGCAGATAAAAATGTGAAAAGAAAGAGACAAAAGAAGGGGCTGCGTCTTCACTTATTAAAGGTTTGAATAGCATAAACATATTCATGAAATGGGAAAAGGCCTCCATAATTAGTTTGGCAAGAAAAGATAGTGAAAATAATAAAGTATTAGGTAGGTTTTGCCCAATACTCCCTGTTGCCAAGGTGATCTGGTCTCGTTTAAAGCCCCCCAAAAGGCATTTGCAGCTGAATGTTTCAGAGCCACACATGTAATTTTTATGCAGTGTTGACAGTAAGTGGTCTCAGAACAAAGGCGATCTACAGTTTTTCAGATAAAAGATGTAATTTGGCAGAAGTATGCAAGATGCAAGCTCGTGTTCATCTCTGCGTGGCCCAGTGCCCCTGATGTTGAGTGCAGCTCTTTGTGTGGTGCACTTGTGTGGAGTGATGCTCTCTTCCTATGCAGTCATGCAGTTTCTCCTGTGAGCAGGCGAGCACAAGATGCCTTTGCGAGCAGGTTCCAGTGCAGCTGCTTTGCCCGTGTGCCGAGAGCGGGCTCTGTCCGTGGGGTGTGTCCTGCTCCCTCAGAGCTACTGGGGCTACTCCTGCCTGGCCACCCAAGTGGCACTGGCTGCTTTGAACTGGTTTGCTCTGAAGCAGAGAGGCTCTATTCATCTATTCTGTATTGCACTTGGCTGTGAGCCATGACTGGGTCCAGTATGCTGCTCCTGTGACCTCAGGGAATGAATTTTTCTCTTTAAGTTTGGAGTGTTTGAAACTGCCTACATGCTTGATGTTTTAATAGCGTGAACTCAGGGATTGTATGTTAAATTTCATGAGGATATATTAATTTAGTGGAAATCCTGTTAAGAAGTTTTTAACAGATTGGGTAAGACAGAGGGGGTCACACTCAGTGCATTCCTACCCATACGGGTTTTTGGGAACAAAAACTTCTGGAGTTTTGGGAACAACACTTCTGGAGTGAAGTGTTCCCAGAACTGTGCCTAGGCTTTGTCTTTGGAGAAACTGTTCAGAGCAATGCAGATGACTGCTCTCAGGTCTTCCATGTGTAGCAGGTTAGGTGTGTGCTGGAGGCACAAATGAGAGGAAGGAGCTGGTGTGCCATTGTGGGCACACCTGCCTGAACTGCTGTGCCTCATCAAATTCACACAGAGCTGCCCTGGAGCTTCACTCTAAGCAGGTTGTGGAGCTCTGCTGTCTGCCATCTGGACCTAGGGCTGCTGCTGCCTGCCCAGGGAGGATATATACAACACGGCAAAAATTATTTCTCATGATTTTAAGGGACACTGTGGTTAATTGGGTAGTCGTACTTATTTTTCTTCCTGAGATTTGAAGGTATATATTATTAAGAAATTAAAATATGTCTGTACAATGCATAACATGCATGTGGGCACTGTCTTGTACCTGTGCCATTTTCCTGTGCAGTCATTAACAATGTGTTTTACCATTTGGTGAGTTTTGTCTTGCTTAACAGCCTTGCATGACACTCGTTTGGAGAAATACACATCTCTTCTCTAAAAAGCAGGCAAAGATAACAAACGTGCCTTTTATATTTTGACTTGCTTTAAATTGCATTTATTGCCAGATGAGATCTTGTTGTACGAGCTTGTCATATCTCTCCTTGAACATCATTTGGTAGTTAATTTCTTTGTGAAAATACAGAGAAAGCATACTAGACTCCTGAAATCTCACAGTAATATTTTAGATATTACTCTAAAGGATGAACCATTTCCTCCAGCTTAAAATATTAGGCCAGCATTGCTTCAGCTTGCTTTGCAAGGCTTACCTATATCTGCAGTTATGTAAGTTTCAGTTATGTGATATTTCATGGGCATCTATTTAAACATAAAACTATTATTTTTAGTTGAAATATAGACTATATAAAGACTTAAAAGATGTGGGATCAAGGTGGACAACCTTGGCAGCAATGGCCTTTGAACCAACAGCAGTGGATGCAGTCATTTCAACACCAGCAAGATCCAAGTAAGTATATAGAAAGCTTTGTGGATTAATTCTTTTAATGTGTTGTCATTTAAACTTTGTAACAGAGTATGACTCATAGTTGCCTTTGTAGCTGCTCTCAAGATAATACATTTATGATGCTTTTCTGAACTAGAAAACCATAGATGGGTTCCAAATGTTTTCACATAATTAATATATAGTATGCAAATACAGGCAAGAAACCTCAGTTGCCTACACAAATTACCAGCATTTTACGTGTCATAGAGATCAACATTTGGACCTCATTTACCAGATCTGTATCCCTATCAGTTCTTCAGCCAAACGAAGTCCTTTAAGAGAATCTGCTTTTTTATTCAGTACCTGTATGGCAGAAGTATTAATGCAGATTTTATATACAGAAAAAAAACCTCACTGGAAGACTAATACGGTTTTTGATTTAGGTCACAGCAGTGATAATCATGATCTCTTGTTTGGAATTTTTTTTCCCCACCAAAACTACTAAATGGTTTAAATAGTAGAACAGAGTATACCTTAAATTGAAAATGAAGTGGCAACCATTCGAAATATCAAGAGAAATAGAGAAATGGATGAAAGTGCAGGTGTGTATTTAATACTAAGGCAAAGTGATCAGGCACACAGGTTTTACTGTCACTTTAATTTCTGTTAAATTCACTGGAGAGTTTTCCTGACTTGATAATAAGCAGACGACATACTAGTGTTTTTTATCTGAGAGTGTAATTTATTTGTTGACTGGTGGGAATGGCAGTAAGGAAAAAAATGGGAGAGAACTGTAACATGATATATGGCTAGGGTTGTACAAAGACTGTACATTGAAAAATAATTTTCTAGCTATTTTTAACTATGTATTTTTTTTACTCTCAAGTCTTCATGAATTTATAATTTAAGGATATGTATATTAATTTCTGATGTCAAAATTCACTCACCTATAAAAAAGTGCATTAGTACCACCCATTCAGTGTCAATGTGAATGTAAAATAATCTGCCTTTTGACATTTTGAACATATGCAGAGAAACAGTACTTCAGCAAGTCTGTACACTGACATTTGCTTTGTTTCTTTTACTGTATACTGTGAATAAGTTTAAATGGTGCTCACAGTGCTTGCTGAAGGTAAATGTTACCCATTTATCTTGAGCAATAAGACATGTAATTGAGAAACAGTGTTAAACTTCAGACATGAGAGTTCTAACCTTTTTAACTTCCTCTGTTTATTTTAGGCCAGATTGACTGGGCTGCATTAGCTCAAGCATGGATTGCTCAGCGAGAAGCCTCAGGGCAACAGAATGTAGTGGAACAACAAGGAATGATGCCAAACGGACAGGATATTTCAGGAATAGAGTCTGGTCCAAACAACCATAATAATTTTCAGGGGGATCCCAATTTCAACAGAATGTGGCAGCCAGGTTTGTTTCCCTTCCTGTGCATTCCTTTTTTTCATATTTCTTCATTTTATTCTTGTAAGACATTTTTTGGTGTGAACGTGCCCTGTCCCTCAGGCTTCAAAAGGCAAAGCTACTAGTTGACTTATTAATCACAGCTCCTACTCAGAGAGCTACTGTTGCCTCTCCTGTAGTTTAATACCTGCTTCTGGAATGATCTTGACATGTAGAATGAGTTCACAGAATAACTGATGCTGGCTTTAGGTGTCTTAAAATCTTTAAAAAGGGAGATCAGCAAAATTCTGTGTGAAAAATATGTTTTTATTACGTTTCATATACTTAGGATTTACCCTTTTTAACTTTGGCATCTGATTGTCAGCATTTTTCAGTCATTGTAAGTTAAAGTTGATTGGATGCTTCTGTTAGCATCTATTATTTTCAGTAATTTTTAACTTCCTCAAAATATTGCTTTTTTCCAAAAATTTATTTTCTTTTTAAAACTTCACAAGATACCACTGGTAATAAGAATGGGATAGAAATGGGTTATTTTCAGCTAAGAATTTTTCTGAAATTATTTTCTGAAAGCTGGGTTATGGCACTATGCTATAATGCTATTTGAAGTGTATTAACAAAATAGTAAGCCTATGTGCATGTCTTCAGTTGTTTTGGGGAAAACTGCATTTCATGCTTGATTCTGTTAATAGTTAAAAGAATAACATTACCAGTTTTCACTTTCACTATCCAAATTTATTGAAATGCAACATTTAATATAAGTAGGCTTAATATGTTATTGGTAGTTCTTACATGTATGTAAATAAAAGGGGAGTAGCCATCAGGTTTCACCTACCTGCACTAGGCTACAAGATATTGTAGGCACATGTCAGAATATTTAACTTTTCTATGTGGCAGAGTGTATTTCTAGCTGTATTTCTGTATAGTAAGTAACAATTTTGGCAGAAATAGAAAAGCTATGATAACACTTTTTTAGTTACTACAGTAAAGGATCCAATTATGAAGCAGATGGGAAGGACAGTAAAAATTAGAAAAATGTACTAGAGGACTGGATGGAAGGTAGGAATTAACCTGAGAGGCTACATTCTAATTCTGTTACTGGTGACAGTTATAAGGCAGCTCTGTTGTGGTCTATAAGTATCTTTATAGTGCTCATAAATGTTGTCTTTTTAAGGAGTCAGTCAAAAATTATAGCCACACGGGCTATTAATTCATTCCTTAGACCCTTTTCGCTCTGTTACCCAATTGTAACTAAGTTTGAGGGCTCATGACTATAACTTATTCTAGGACCTCTGCTAGATATTGGGCAATCCAAGAAATCATCCATTATCAGCATTCAGGATTTTGGAGCACAGGTTTTAGTGGTTGTACTGCTTACAAAACCGTTTTCTTTCCATAGTAGGTATTTCAAGTCTATTATGCAAAATAGTCAAATAGCTCCTTGCTTTTAAAATTGACGTAAAGAAGAGCAGTTTTTTAACAGTTTAAGCAATTTTTGTGGTGAGCTCATTATCACTAGAAATTTATAAAAACAAATTTACAGGATGTCTGTGCCTGTCCAATTCTGTCACTCTACCTCATGTTTCAGTTCAGCTGTAGCTTTTTGTTTCTTTCATTTAGTTGAAGAAATTATTGAGACAATACAATCCAGTCTGCATTTTGATGATTCTTCATTGCTTTATCATCTGTGTGATGCTTTTTGTGTGATAAATACAAGAACACTGAGTGATTGGTGACTCACATAAATTATACTAACTTGGTATCGAATTGTATTCTAAATCCTAAACAGAATGGGGAATGCCTCACCAACCCCCTCACCCACCTCCAGATCAGCAGTGGATGACTCCAACCCCAGGTCAAATGGAAATTGTTCCTCCGTCTGAAGACAGCAACAGTCAGGACAGTGGGGAATTTACTCCTGACAACAGGCATATATTTAACCAGAACAATCACAACTTTGGGGGACCTCCCGATAACTTTGCAATGGGGCCAGTGAACCAGTTTGACTATCAGGTGAAACATATTTGTTGCTTTAATATTGTAGACGCGCAGAGTCCCTTCCATGGATGTGTTCCTCTAATATCATCTAGCGGCGACTTTCATTCTTCAGTTCTACAAACATCTACAGAATCTGTTATCTGCTAAGATACATTTTAACCAAATACTTGACAAAAGAGACTTTAGAGTTCTCAGTTCTGTTCAGAGGCCAAAGGGTTTTATTTTTCTACAGTAGTAATGAGAAATTGCTGTTGTCTGCAATATTAAAATGAATCACTCTGTTCCAGTATATAAATTAACATTATGTAGCTTTGTGTTTAGAAAAAAAACAAGAGAGAAGGAAAAAAAATAAAGTTCAGAAAGATATGCTTAAATATGCTAGATAATGTACCACAGGAAACAGTCCTGCATTTGCAGGGAGATAGACTGGATGATCCATTGATCTTTTCCATATCTATCTACTGTGATTCTTTGAATAAACAATGGTATTTCTTAAAAAAAAAAAAAAAAAATTCCATATCCACTTTTTTCTTCATTCTGGCATATAAGCTGTATAGTATAATAAACATGTAGATGGTTTCATTACTAATAATAGCTGGATGCATTGCACAGATCTTTAAACACAAAGAAGTTTTGTATCTTCCCTCTATTTTCAGTATTTTTCTTTTGAAACTCCTTATGTAAATGACAAACTAGCTTTTTGAAAACCTACTTCCTGTTCATAAACAAATACAAGGGAAGATGGACAGAAATCTTTTGTTTTTATCATCTTCTAGGCTATTTTTTATCTTGTAGATTATTTTCCTCTTACAATTCTCTTGTTCAACAGCATTGTTAAATAGGGAAACAATTTTCCAATACATGACTTTATTCTTATTTTTGTTTATTGTCATGGGACAAACTCTTAAAATTAGCTTCTCTAAATACTACAGAAAACTTGTTTTGCAGTGAATGAGAGAGAGATGCTTAACCTGAAACTGTAGTGGAGAGTGCTTTAGTACTAGTGACTTAAATACTCAGTAGAATATTTGATAAAATAGCCTTTTTGTTAAATACGGTCTTCTTAAATAGCTTCTTTAGGCATTTCTGGGCAGTAAATATTAAAAGGAAAAACTCTTATATGCCTCGAGACTTATGGATTGTATACAGATTGCCCAGAACCCTGGATCTGTACTAAAATTGTATATTTACGCATTTAATATTTTAATCAGTCATATTAACAAGATCTATGAAAGATTACTGGAAAGTGCACAGTGCAAAATTCCTATGTAATAAAAGGCTGAACTTAAAATTTTTATTCTCATGCTGTAGTTAAAAGACTGCTAACATAGCTAGACTTTTAAATCTTGGTTTTGTACACTTATTGTTTAACTGCGTGCTCTGATGCTAAGCTGGCACGGAACCGATGAAGATAGATAATGATTATAGAGCTTGGTGTTTAGCACAATATGAAAGGAGATTGGTTGAAGCCCTTTCAGGTTTGTTAAGTATCCCTGCTTAAGTCTAAGTTTAGTCATTAAATATTTAAAGGAAACTTATTTCTTGGGGACCACAGTAAAAGAGATTGAGACATCTCAGTAGCATAGAAATCATGGATTCCTACTTGCATGGATTTTTGTAGACCGACTTGCTCACATGCTGCATTTAGTGTTACCGTGTGAAGAAAAATAAACTGCATTACTCTTTCAGCATGGGGCTGCTTTTGGTCCACCTCAAGGTGGATTTCACCCACCTTATTGGCAGCCAGGACCACCAGGGCCACCAGGTCCTCCAGCACCTCCTGCACCTACTCAAAATCGAAGGGAAAGACCCTCGTTCAGAGATCGACAGCGTTCACCTATTGCGATGCCTGTGAAGCAGGAGCCTCCCCAGATTGGTACATGTTAACCACTCCTTAATGAAAAAATGTAAAAGCTGTGTTTTATAAAGAATTGCAAAGTTTGAAGACCTTTTTAATAGAAAGTAAAAGAGCAGGAAAAGAAAAACCCATTATAAATGTTTTTTTCCCCACAATCAGATGTGGGACTTGTTTTGATGGGGGTGGGGGGTTTCCTTTTTTGTTTTGGGGGGTATATTTTTATTCCTTTTTTTGGGGAAAGGTTTTTCATCTTTCAAAACTGTAAACCTTACTTATGTAGATGCTGTGAAGCGTAGAACTCTGCCTGCCTGGATTCGTGAGGGCCTGGAAAAGACGAAAAAAGAAAAAAAGAAAAAAGAGGAAAAAGAAAAAAGGGAACACCAACGGTCACCTCAGAGAAGTAAATTTGTAAGTACAAGGGTCTGTTTTTGGCTCAGGTTTGTATTTTCTGAAAGGTATCAACTTTTCAGTCTCTTCAAAGGAGAGACTGTATTCCTGGTTACCTCATTGGTTTTGTTGTGTAAAGTAAGGTTATGCTGCTGCTCTGTTGGTAATTACTTGATGTTTTGAAGTTTTTAATGGCTAAGAGGTAGAAGTATATAATTTGATCTGCAATAGCAAAGAAACAAGGATGAAATTTGACTTGTTTTTTCTTTTTTTGTTTGTTTGTTGGGTTTTTTTTTTGTTTGGTTGGTTTTTTTGTTTTTGGGGGTTTTTTTTTTTGTTGTTGTTTTTTCCTTTTGGAACATACAGAGCCTTTGAAAGTCAGAATTCCAGATCAACAGCTGAAGAAATTCAGACACCTGTATTTACTAAACTGAGCCAATATAGGAAACCTTGCGTTGCCTTCATTTTAGCCGTTATCTTATTTGTAGTCCAGCGTGCGTGTCTGGCAGGGAACTGGCAACTAAGTATTTTCTTAGCTTCTGTGGGTACAGGTACCTGCATACTTTTTAGGAAGGGAGAAAATAAATCAATTTATGACAATTGTAATACAGATTTCACTACAAAGTAAATGAAGCTGACTATTACAAATAGGAACTAAGGAGCTTGATATTTAAGTTTTTCCTGAAGTGCATGATGCTGTTCTTGTAGGACAGTGACGAGGAAGATGAAGATGCTGAAAACACAGAAGCTGTAAGTGTTGGGAAAATCAGCAGGAGTCCATCCCCAGCTCCTCAAGAGGAGCAAAGTGAACCAGAAATGACAGAAGAAGAAAAGGAGTATCAAATGGTATTAATGATGTAGTTCTCACTAAATATTTCTGCTTAATTGCTCATATTTTTCAGGCATATCAAAGTGTAAATCATTTTTTCTATGCCTGATACTGTCAATAGAAGCACAGTATGCATTGTACAGTGAAGCAGGGTTATATTTGCATATCTCTTTATAATGCTGTCTCTCTCATAGAAGCAGGGATACCAGTTATATAGCTTATATTTAGCACAATAGTGAAAGAATGTAATGACTGTAATCTTTACATAGATCTTTATTATTTCTGTGGTTTTGCTTCACTTACCAAATTTCTGGAAACTTTTAGGGATTAAATGCACCCATTTCAAATCTGCTTCAACATCAATTCCTGTGAAAGAGAATTTAAGAAATGTATTCTTGCAAGGAAGTGCTACAACCCGAAATCTTAGATCAGCAACAGTTTCACTGTGTCTGCACAACCTTCATACTTTGAAATCACAGTTGAATACAAATTGTACAACTGAATCCTTGTTAATTAAGGACCCAAATTCTACTAAGTTTGATGAATATATTTTTGTAGAGCATGTAGGCAGATATAAACGACTTGGAGAACTAGCTACCACCAATTAATTTTTGTAGAAAATATATAAAAATAAAATGCTATATAAGTAACCTCTGATGATATTTACAGGCAGCATACAAGTCAGAAAAGTGCTCTTTACTTTTTGGAAGAATAATTGGAATCAGTCTAAGTACATTTCTGATTTACATATTCATTTATTATGTCATCTTAGACATTAGGATCAGTGCCCTGATAGCTGTGTGCAATGCATGCAGACACAGTCCACTGTCAAAATAGAAACTTAAAAATTGTGAAATCAGGTCACATTTAAACAGCTTCATTATTTTTTTGGTTTTTTAGTCTTGTCTCTTGGAAGCAGTCATTAAATAAAATGTGCAGGAGACCACTTTCATGGTCATCAAAAGAAGTGAAGCTGTGTGGATATAATTTGAATGTGGCATTTATTCAAGATTTTTTGGCCTTTAATTGTATCTGCAATTTTGTTCAGATGATGCTGACAAAAATGCTGCTGACAGAGATTCTCTTAGATGTCACAAATGAAGAAATCTATTACGTGGCCAAAGATGTTCACCGTAAAGCAACTAAAGGTATGCCGGGTTTGGGAGGGTTTTTTTCTTTTTAGTTTCTTCTGGAAAAATTCTGTATTTGCATGTCTTTAGAACATTTAACCTCCATAGTGCTCCCTCAAGAACAATTCCAGTATAATGCATCCAACTTGGTAGAGTTCAAATCCAGTAATCATGTACTGTCGTCCTGTGCAGTGTATTGTGAGTTACTTGAGTTATTCCATTTTTTTCATACAATTCATTTCAGTTAAAATGGTACCCGTATGTCAATGGCTCTTGAGTTGTAGCTGTTCCTTACTACTATCATCTTTATCTCAAAGCTGTTCAGAAGTGAAAAGAGATGAACTTTGAGTCCTCAATTAGTAATTAATTTGCTTTCGCTGTTAACATGTATTGTACTTACAGAACAGATTATTTTAACATAACAGAGTTAATCTAAGTATGTAACTACTGAAGTTGAAAATTCTGTGCAGATGCTGTAACTTGGAAAGTGATTTATGAGTATATATTTGGGCTTTTTCTGTTCACTGTTAATTTGCAGTTAAATTCTAAATCTTCATGGTCAGAAAATCTAGAAGTGGTTTTAAATGGATGATGCGTTTTTAATGTTTCTTCTCTCCCTCCAAAGAACAGCAATAGTAGTAGATTTAACAATACCATAGACTCATGACTATGAAATCGTGGCTATTTGTGTTAACATGTTGTTCCTGTTGTTGATGTGATACAAAGCTCCTGCAAAACAGCTGGCACAGTCCAGTGCACTGGCTTCCCTCACTGGACTCGGTAAGTATGTTCCTTATTTTTGAAAGGGCTTAAAGGGGGAGTTTCACTTTTGCCTTGTGTTTCTAGAAATTGCATTTTGAAACCAGATTTTAATTGCCTGGGAGTATGGGTCACTTTCTGATAACTTTATCATTATCAGCACCTTTGTTTGTTCCACAGGTGATCCTACTGATATATAAGTGGGATAATTGCTGGAGTAAAGGACTAGGCAGTGTGATATAGTTTATGAGAATCTTGCCCTAATTTTGAAAATACATAAAATTTTAGATAACTTTACTTTTCAAAGTATGATAGTTTCAGAAGCACACTGCAGCCTTCAAAGAAGGGAATACTATTTCATACTTTTCTTCTGTTTTGATCCATACAAACCAGAGGGGAAAGTTGATAGAAAAGTAGTGTGAAAGTCTATAAATAAAAAATATTATAATCTTTGTAATTATTATTTTATTGAAACGCTACATAAGCACAAAGGCTCCCATATCATATACTGCCAGAAACAACACAGGAAAGAGAGATTGAAATTCCATCTTGAGACACACCTGCAAGAGATGTCTCCCAACATGACTTTTATCATCTAAAATATACTACAGCAGTGTCAGTGATCAGTTATGTGTTCATTACATATTGATGAATTAGATTGAATGTAATCATCACAAGTATTCATGTTTCAGAACTGACTCAGTAAAGATCCTAAGGACCTCAGACTGAAAGAAATCCATGTCAGATGTTTAAATTGACTTTATCCTTATCAGTCCAGTAATTACAAATATCTCTGGGGGAGAAGAAAGTCTGTTTCTATTCCATTTCCTTGCCTGTCAAAGTGCAGTGTTTTCTAAATCATATGGAAAAAATTGATATGGCATTCAGAATTTCTGTAGCCTTGGACTACGGAGGCAGCTGAAGTCATTTCAGACGTGTCTTCTGGGAAAGATCCCAGGAATTTTCTGTCCCATTGCTGATACAGAGGCAGGCACTGTTACAGTCTCCACAGGGAGCTTTTTTTCCTTTCCATACAATGGAAAACTACCATGGTCACAGTGGTTGCTTGCTGAAAATAGACAAGCTGTTCCAGAAGGAGTAGAAGCAGACAGTGACCATCAATGCAGATACGGGGGCCTTGAACACACTGGTAAACAGCACTGGCAATTACCAGAATAAAGTGACTTCTTCAGAGACAAGGAAGTGAAGGAAGGGCAGTGTTACTCTCCTCTTTGCCTCACAGAAGTATTAAGAACAAAGCTTAATCTTTCCTCGTGATAGACTGGACTTTATGCATGCAGGTGGACTGGGTGGTTATGGATCAGGAGACAGTGAAGATGAGAGGAGTGACAGAGGCTCTGAATCATCTGATACTGATGATGAGGAATTACGACACAGAATAAGACAAAAACAGGAAGCGTTTTGGAGAAAAGAGAGAGAACAGCAACTACTACTAGAAAAACAGCTAGAAGGTACATACAATGTCTTACTGTGCTGCTGTATATGGAGTTTACTACTAAGTGCATGTAAATTGATGGCAAAGAAACACATTTAAAGCAAAAACATACAAAACTAAATTTATAAATAAAGTATTTTTAATTCAAATTAAAAAAAAAACAACAAAACCAAACCTGTGCTTTACTTCTGCTTCTCCATGCAAGGTAAGGTTTGTTCTTTTGTACAAATACCATAGGCCAAAAGGGTAGCACGGTCACCTTCCAGTGCTGAAGAGCTGTCTAGAGATGGATGCTATGTTAAGAAGTCATGAACCAAGTTCACAGGCTGGAGGAGACAGTGCTATTACAATAGAACTTAAAATTGATGGTTTCTTCCTTTAACTTTTTATTTAAAGGCCTGAAAATAAGACATATGGAACCCTTAATAAAAGGCTGTACTAGCTAAACTTTTGGTTTTCTTCATATTCCTGTCTCTCTTTGAGTGTTTGAAGATGTATGCATAAAAGGATAGCCATATGGAGAGTGACTGAGTGGTGCCTGTGACCTCTGTCTTCCTAGCACAGGAAGCCAGATGTCAGTGTGGAGACATCTCCATGGGACTTCTTGCAAAAATACTAAACTAGAGTGTAAAGCAGCTGATTCTATACATCCAAAATACTGAAGAATGCTAGTGCAGAGTCTCATTTGTAGCAGTGTTTTGGAAAGGCAGAAGATTTCTAATAGACAATACAGCATCTTCTAACATACACTGTCTTCTGCCTGTATTGCCTAATAACTTGGGGACCAGCTGGAATTGTTTTCTGGGTTAAATTTGACCATTAGTTGCCATTTGGACCACTCTGTGTTTCTGGATGCAGTTTTATTCCCTAAATTAATTCAGGAAATGATGGCCCACATCAAAAGGACATTTTTTGGCAAAAAATGTATGTCAGTTATTTTTTCTGGATCTAATTTAAAATGGGGAAATAAAGTTGGCAGTGATGCAAAGGATCCAAGGTTGAATAAAAGTAACTTTTATTTTGGAAACCTCTGGGAAACGTTCTGAGGGTCTCACTAGGAGAGAAATACAACTTCTTCAGACAGTAATCCTCAAACCCAGATGAATGGGCCTCAAAGGCAGGAAGCATCAGTACTTCCTGCTGTACCGGTGAGGAGTCTTGTGGGAAGGAGAAAGGGAGAATCAGGTGTGCAGAAAAGTTGCAAAAGATAAAAGTCCTGTGTGTAGATCAGTTTGGGAGTTCTGGTGTTCCAGGATATTTGTTTGAGAACTTCATCTTAAACCACTAAAACATGAAATAACATCAAGACTTCTAAAATTACTGTGCTCTCCACTTTTTTTAAGCCAAGAGGACAACTTTTCTAGAATTATAAGAAAAAAAAAGAGTGGTTTGTTAAGTAGTTGGTATGGTGGCAGTGTTTTAATTAAAAGTATTATGTGAGGTGCTTGGAAACTTGATTTTGTCAATGTCGTGGTGTGGAAATTACTGACATACTGCTCCAAATTAATTGCTTTTTTTTTTCCTGTATACTTCTTTTTTTCAGAAGAAAAGCTACAAAATGAAAAAGTTTCAAAAGAGATGAATGAATTTATCAGCAAAGAACAAAATAGTAACTTAGCATCACAGGAGGCAAAAGAAATTGAAGCAGATATGGTTCATGAAAAGAAGAGATCTCCAAATGCAAATGCACCTGATGTAGAACTCAAGAAAGAGGGTAAAGAGAGGACAGGAAGGAGTGGGTCAAGAAGCTCTAGCAGTGGCAGCAGCAGCAGCAATAGCAGGAGCAGCAGCAGTAGCAGCACAGTATCCAGTTCTTCATATAGCACTAGCTCAGGTAGCAGTCGCAGCACTTCACGTTCTTCCTCTCCCAAAAGGAAGAAGAGACACAGTCGCAGTAGGACGCCGTCCCATAAAGTTAGGCGTAGTAGAAGCAGGAGTTACTCCCATAGAAACAGGAGAGAGAGGAGTAGGAGCAGGGAGAAAATAAGGGAAAGGAGAAGATCTAGTAGAAATCACAGTGCTGAAAGAGGGGAGAGGCGGAGAAATCGGAGTCCTTCGAGAGAGAGAAGCTGGGATAGACGTAGAAGCGGCAGCCGCTCAAGAGACCGGCGAGCCAACCGTGCGAGCCGCAGCAGGAGCAGGGACAGACGTAAAGCTGAAGACCAGCGTAGAAGCCCTACTGGAAATAGGCACAAACATAAAAGTGAGGGTAAAGATCAAGAAAGGAAGAAGGAGCAGGGTGGAGGTGTAGATAAAGACAAAAAAAAGAACAGAGAAAGGGAGAGAGATCAGGAAAAAAGAAAAGATAAGCCCAAAAAAGAGGAAAAAGAAAGTAAGGCTGGCAATCATGACGACAGTAGATTAAAGAGAAAAAGAGACAGCGAAAGAACTTTCTCTCGCAGTGATTCAATATGTGTGAAAATAATAAGACAGGATTCCAGACAAGAAAGCAAAAAAATTACTACCAAAGATAGCAAAAAACGATCAGGCTCTGAATCTAGTGCAAGGAGTAGTTCTGAATCACCAGGAAGCAGTAAAGAAAAGAAGGCTAAGAAATCGAAGCATATTCGGTCATGCTCCATGGAGAAATCTCAAAGGTCTGGTAAGAAGGCAAGCCGCAAACACAAGTCTAAGTCACGATCAAGGTAGTATACTTTTTAAGTATTTTGTCTGACTTTTTAAAAGTTTTTTTTATATTCGTCTTCATGTGTACGGCATATGAACTTTTTTAATAAAGTATGGTATTTATTAAACTTTTTGTCTTAGGCAAAAGTAACTTTGGAAAATCTTATAAAACTATTAATTACTAAGCCTAAACTGTGTGTGGGTTTGGGGGTCTTTTATTTTTTCCAATTAACTTTTTCCCCCTTTTCCTTTATTTTTCAGATCAACAACTCCTCTCCGTCGTAAACGCTGAGGAATTTATGGCACCAGTGCTATGATGTTTAAAAATTCCATGAGTTATAAAAGGCTTGTCTCATTATAGAGGCACATTGTGGCTATGTAGGTGAAACCAGAATCCTTTTTTTATCTGTAAATAGGTGTATTTTTTCCAAATGCTGCTCAGAATTAAATACCTAATAGGATTTCTTTGTATTACATTTTTTCAAGAACGGTAGTGCTTATTAAGACTATAAAACAGGCCATTCTCTTTCAGCTGTAATGTTCTTAAAATTACTATTGAATGTACTGTGATGTCAATAAAGCTCTTTAGTTCATTTTTTGTTTAAAATTCTTGCACCTGAATTTTGTGGTAAATGGTAGAAAGTACTTAAAAAAAAGAAAAAGGCAGCTTTTTTGGTATAACAGATTTTTAAAGTACTTGAAAAAGATTTAACATGAAACACTTGTAATCCATGATGAGATTTTTGGGGGTGTGGAAGAACAGAGAAAAGACATCTTATTTTTCTTTAGATATGTGTAATAGATTTTTAATAACCCTTTTTTTTGGTCTAGCTGGTACTATATGCTGTGTGTGTAAAATATGGGTGACTGTAATACAAGTGAAACAGACTGAACCCCATTAGGAATATGTGCGATGAACTGATCTCATGTGGCGGTGTTAAGCTCTGGAACTATATTCCTCACCCAGTTTTCAGAGAGATCTTTGGATGTTCAGGGATATTACACACAACTCAGAATTTTAGATGTTTTTATGGAGTATGTTTATAAATGTCACTCAGTACACACTGGAAAACTGACAGTAGGTTAACTTTATATTTTGGCACATGCATTAAATGCATAGTAAATATTAAAGTTGGTTCTTAGTGTCACAGGAATTACGACTTGTGTAAAGCTAATACATTGATGTATTAGCAATGCCACTAATTTTTTTATTTTAATATTACCATAAAGTGAAAGAGGTCACTGATTACCTACTTAAGGAAATTGACTATTGCTGTTAGAAACAAGAGTGTGAAATAATATAAGTTAAAAAACAAGCCAACAATACCCAACTCTAGGCCAGTGACTGTTACAGAAGAACACAAATTCAGGGAGCGATCTGTGCCTAAAAGGTCTGGTATGACACCAGTTGTGAAAAAGGTAAAAGGCTTAGCATCAAAGTAAGTTCTCTTTGATTGGCTGTATCTTCTAAGAAAAAATTGCACTAGTACAGAAAACTTGCAAAGCATGTCTTCATGAACAGATTATTCCGTTTAACTAAATCAGAATTCAGCTATGCAGCTTTTTTCCACTGTAATTTTTTTCATAAATAAGATGCAGAAATAAACTGCTTCAATGCAAAGAAATACATTTTAACTATCTGTTCAATAAGCAAGCTAATTGCTAGTGAATACATGCATGTTTATCAAATCACTGTTACAGATAATTACTTATAAATTATAACACCCTCCCCTCAATTATATCTTTCACATAGAGTAAGCAGTCATATTTACCAGCAAAATATGGCATAATTTGCAACACACAACTTTTGCTTGCATTGGTAGGAATATAAATAATGATGTATTGATCTAATCTCACTACACTCTTGGCTCTGGGTAAGAGTGAGGAATTTTTGAAAAGTAGGTAACATAACAGTTCAGTTGTCCTAGAAGGATATCTTGTGAGAGACAGAAGGAAACTAGAAATAAGCTTAAGAAAAGCTGTTGAGGAATACAGTTTCCAGGATGCATTGAATTTGGTTTTCAGTTCAGATTTTATATTCTCTGTCTAATAATAAAAACGATTGTGTATGAAAAGCTTTCTATACTCTGCCAACAACTGGAATTCCGTCACTTCCTGTAAATATGAAAATTATTTTTTTGACACAAATGCACTTATATGGGTAGTGACTGTATGCCAATAAAAAGAGCATACGATCTCTGTATCTAACTGTTTCAGAAATCTTACTATAACGGCCTACTCATCACTCATTAATTAAATACACATTAGTACTCTTGTCAGCATTACATTAAACTTTGGGTTTTGGAAACTCCCTTTAGGAATGTCTTCCACCTAAAAAGCTAAAATAACAACCACTCTTTTAATTCCGTGCATCTGAAGTGATCCTAAAATGTGCAAATACATACAAAAATGGGAATGTATCATTTTAAAATAAATGCTGCAAAAATATTTCCGTGCACTACAGGAAAGCAATACACAGGATTTTGAATGTCGTGGGGCAACATTACATTTGGAGGCATTTCCCTTGAAAACTTCTTTAATAAATAAGGGATGGTGTGGAATCAAATGAACAATGATTTTCATGGAAATTGTTCAGAAGGTGAATACAACCAAGCCAATGTCCATATGTGCCCCAAGGTGCCCTCTACACCATGTAAGAACAGGACTTAGCTGTGGCCATGGATAGGCCAAAAAAGAGTAGTTGAGTAAATATTCTGACTTTAAAGACTGAGCAACTACATGTGTTTTGAAATATGGCACAGTAACGAAAACTCTGTTCTGTATTTGAGGCTCTATCTCATGGTATAGCTACTTCTAGTTTCAAACAAGCTTGTCCCATGTTGCCAGTGTGCATGTATTTACTTGCTTGTAACCAATTTTAAAATCACAAATATAAAAGCAATGGCAACGTAAGGTTTGGCTCTCTCACTCAGATTTTGTGTTTGCTTTGCTAAATGAATGACAAGTAATAAATTTGAATAATATATGGATGCAGGCTTTGAAGGAAGGCTTAGTTTTGTCTCTTAAGGAGACTATCCTAGCATAAAGGATTTGTTGGAGCTCTGCTTTTTTCAGTAGCTCCGAGATGCTACTCATGACTCGTAACTCCAGTGCACCGTGAGGTTTGTTGGATAGAAAGCAGGTGAGTAAAAAGTGAGGCAGGTACATACTAAGCAGGTTTGCCATATACTTAATTGCTGTCGAGACAAGCTTTTTTGAGTCCTTTCAGCAGTCCTTATTTAACTTTAAAAAGAAAACAGTCCAAACTTTAACTACTACATTAATTATACTGTATTTTCAGGAGACCTGTAAACAGGCAGATTTCAAGCAAGTAAGGGTTGTAGTACCAAGCAAGGTCACTTCATAAAGCAGGCTGGCACTATAGGGAAATCAAGCCAGGACTGGTTATACTACTCCAAATTTCCTGCAGGCTGGAGGATGCTTCTGCCCTTGGCTTTGTGCTGGCCGTGCCTCCTGCCTTCATCTGCACAGCCAGGCAGGGAACCCAGCTGGTGATCATCTGCCTGGCAGGCACAGGAGTGCTGCCAGCTCTGCTTGCACGGCTTTCCTTTGCATTGCTCTGCACTGCTACCTTCCAGACAGCTTTGGTTTTCACTGGGCATTCTTGATGGACCTGCAGATCAATAAAGTGTCAGAAAACTAATCTTATATAAACTGGCTTAATTATTTTCCAATTGTGTATGTCAGCCCTGAACTGCCAGGGCTGCTCTCCTGAACCTCAGTTCGGGGCCCTTGGCAGCAGCGCCTGCGAGGGAGCCGGGAAGGAAGGCAGCCTTCTCCTTACTGCACCACAGCCTGGACTTAGTCTAGAACCCTTGTCACGGCAGCGTCGGAGAGAGGCAGCAGCATGCCAGCTTGCCTGGTTCCCATCGGGAGCCTGCCCCAGGCCCAGCCATGCTGGAGCCCAGAGGTTCTGCTCCAGGCCGCAGTGCCGGCTGCTGGGATCGCCGCCCTCCTGAGCCCGCCCCGAAGCGAGGACTCTTGTACTTTGTGCCGTGCCCTGCAAGCCCGGTGTGTTTCTCACTAGTGAAAGGGACTGAAAGCTGTGGGCTCGTCCCTGTATCATCCGAACGAGCCTCTGCTTGCGGGTCCTTTCGTGTTCCAAGACACGGGAACGAGGGGGCGCACTTTTAAGCAGAGTCGCTCCAAGTGCAGCCCTGGCGACAAGCGCCACCGTAAGGGTTGGCATTCGCACCGGCCCCAGCGCCGGGCGGAACCTTCCCGGCGCCCGCCCGGCGAGGCAGCCGGCACCGCCGGCCGCGGACCGGGGCGGGGCGAGATCGGCGGCCGCGGCCATGTGGGACGGCGGGGCGGCCCGAGCCCTCAGCCGAACCGTCACCCGCGCCCTGCGGCGCCGGCGGGCGGCGGGCGCGGTGCCGGGGGCTGCGGGCGGTGAGCGGGCGCTGGGCGGGCGCGGCTGGGCAGGAGGCAGGGCGGGAGGCAGGGTGGGCCCTCTCGCGGCCGGCGGCAGGGGCGGCGTAGCGGGGCTCGGCTTCGCCTGCTCCCTCACAGGCGGGCCCTGCAAACCTCCCGTCGGGAAGGTGGTGTTCCCCTTCCACCTCCTTTGCGGTCCAGAGGTGTCTAGATCGCTCCATGGCTCACTGCGGCCTAAAATCATCTGTAGGGGGTGGTTGACTCTGGGTGCAGTGAGGCAGTGCTGTCATTCGGTGACCAGGCAGCGCCTGGATGTGGGCGAGCGTTCGCCGTGCTAGGGAGAGCCCTGCGTCGTCTAAGCAGGAGTGGAGAACAATTGCAGGATATTATCCCTGGCCTGCCTGTGCACCGTCCGTGAGGGTTTTTTTCGTACAATGCAAAGTGAGTGTGCAGCTGTGTATGTCTCGTTCTAATACATAATAAACCCAGCGCTGCTGAGCGCGTGTGTGTGCGTGCACAGCTCACGGTCAGAGTAAATATTTTTGGGAAATTCACACTAACGGAAGCATTTCAGTTGCATAAAAATCTCTTTTCCGTTCAGTCTCTGAACTTGGCATTGTACATAATTTGAGGAGTACAGGGGTGGTGAACTAGAATACATTCTTTTATTTAATCCCCAACTCCATAAGTACAGCAGTGAGCAAATGTGCAAAGATTTGCATGGTTAGTATTCTGCTAGAGCAGCCCTCTTACAACTCTGTATTTTGCCTCTGACTTCTTGTAAAGCTGATGTTTTCCATTTGGTTGTCCTTTATTTATGCAGATGACCATGCTGATCTGTCTTTTCAGACAGGTCTGAGAAGTGTCCTTCAGGACTACGATAGGAAAAAACAACTGAAATCCAGTAGTACTTTGCCTGTTTCTCTGACTGAAATGAAAAGCAACATGTAAGTATTGTATCTAAAATAACCCTGTGTGGTAAGGGCTACCCTTTTCTGTAACAATTTATTTTGATTACCTGACAGTGTCACATGGAGCCATTTTTATATCTCACATGTTTGAACGTTTGATGTGGCCTGTTCTTGTTAAAACAGTTGCCAACTTAAAAATTACAGGCATGCAGCCATCTGTTTGGGAAGATACGTTACCCATACAGTCTATACTATCTGTATGCTACTAAACAAGCATAACTTGAATCTCTAAAGAAACCTGAGTTTTACCTTTTTGCATTTTCCAATGCAGTGTTTGTTTTTCCCATATTTCAGCTGACATTAAGTATTAGTATTGGTTTAATGATATTCAGCTTTCATTATTTAGGTTCACTGTGAAGAGACCTTTCAGCACTTCACACTCTTCAGTGGATTCAAAGGAAATTAAAAAATTCCAGCTCCTTGCACATAAGTGGTGGGATGAAGAAGGAGAATATGCAGCCCTTCATTCTATGAATGATATTAGAGTGCCGTTTATTAGGTATGGTTTTGAAGACAGATTTTTTTTATATGTACTATTTCTGCATGACATCAGAAAATATTGGGAAAAAAAAAGTCAATTACCAGTACTTAAGATAACTGCATATTGCATCTACTAAAGCACCTTGTGGGTTTAACCTTAATCACATCCCTTTTCTTTCAGAGATACCCTGTTGAGCATGAGTAGTAATTATCATGTGGGAAATCCACTTTCTGGAATCAAGATTCTTGACGTGGGCTGTGGCGGAGGACTGCTGAGTGAAGTAAGAAACAGTGTGCTCTGTGTTTTCTTGTTTAAAGGCATGCAAGGTTGTACTAATTACACTGCTTGATTTCGAATCCTCCAAGGACGACCTTTTCTCTTCCATGATACGTTAGTTACTGAGTAGAATGCAGTGCAATCTTACAAAAAAACCCATAGAGTATTTGGTTTGCATAGTGGTGGTGGTTTACAGAGAATGAGGGAGTTGGTAATGAGAAGTTCTAAAATTGTGAGATTCTAAATCAGGAAAATAAGATTTCAAGAACTGTAAAGTAAAAGAGAGGGCAAGAATGATGAAAAAATCCTTGAATATTTCTTTCTTTATTTTTCTTTTTTTCACTTTATGAGTTTAGGCAAGAATACTTGGAATCATGGCATCCTCATTACCAAAGAAGTAATTTTTGTTATAAAGTTGTTCTTACACATTCATTTATTTGAATTGCTTATCTTCAGTGTTTTACATGGGGGTGGAGATTCTCACCTTTGATTTGATCTCATTGGAAATGCATGGAGTAGCATCAAGCACCCAAATCATACCTCTCCTATGTCAGTAGAGTAATTGCTGTGGTACAGGGACTGATGTTACAGTGGCTTCCAGAGAAGTCTGCACAAACTTGGTACTGAGAAGTTACTGTTTGTGGTGGAACACTGTCCACAGAGGCTCTGAACTGTGCTGTGTCCCATCAATGGACTAGGGATGGTTTGTGAATTTAGGGTTACAGATCTGGCTGACTTACTCTGGGAACTTCATCAGCATCTGAAGTGTTACAAAGGGACCTGAATCTCTCCCATGTTTTCTTTCTTTGTTTTTTCTCCTCTTGCAAAATCTTGTAGTCTGGTGAGAGGGGTCTCTCCAACAATGCTGGCAAAGCTGGTGTGCTGCATCACCTTCTCAGGCTGAACAACCGGTGAATTTCAGGTTGGAATATCATACTTGTGGTCATGTTCTGCAGCCTGTTTCAGTTTCAGAAGAGGTGATGACTAAGGTGTTAACCTTGGAGTAAGAAGACACTGGAGAAACCTGAGTGACAGCCAAGTCTGATGCTATCCTAGTAAACATCAGTGTTTAGTTCTCAGCAGTGAGAAAGTCACAGAGATAATCATATATTAAGTAACCATTAAAAAGATATGAGGATTTACCATTACAGGTGGATGTTGAAGAAAGTAATGACAGTAATTAAATACAGCATTGTTTTCCCCCCTTTAATTACTGTGTTGATTTTCCCCCTTTGTTTTTCCTTTATCAGAGAGTAGTAGTGGAAGAAATCTTTATTTGGTGTAACAAAATAGATTGAGAACAAATGATTCTAAAAGACAATTTAGATGTGTGCATAGTCCAGTATATAATTTTTAAAGAAAATTAACACCGCCTTTCCAAAATCTAAGGGTGTTTTTGCTTTAATAAACATTTAAAATAAAACTGCAAGATCAGAGCTCATAATTTACTGTTGTTTGTCTTGTGTTGATGCTTTCTACATCTTGTATGTACATTGCAAAGTTTCAGAAACCTCTAAGTAAATTGTTTTCATGCAGAGAATAAATGGCACTCTTTTTTATTAGCCTTTAGGTAGACTGGGAGCTTCAGTTACTGGAATTGATCCTGTGGAGGACAACATTAGAACAGCAGATCAGCACAAGTCATTTGATCCGGTCCTGGCCAAGAGAATACAGTACAAGTCCAGTTCACTGGAGGAGATTGTGGAGGAGTCTATGGAAACCTTTGATGTAATTGTAGCTTCTGAAGTAGTGGAGCATGTGGCTGACCTTGAAACGTTTATCAAGTGTTGCTCTCAGGTGTTAAAGGTAAGACATTTTTTTCTTTTGTTACTGGGAATATTTATTCTCTTTTATTATTGTGTTTTTTTAAAAGGAGTGTGAAAACACATCTACACATATTTCTCCACTAAGTCAGAAACATATTCTAGAGGTGCCTTCCATTCTTCTCCATGATGCAAATACATCATACCAAATTCAGTAACCACAGTTATGGGAAATTTATTTCCCTGACTCAGCCTCAGGAAAGTGTTAAGGCATTACCTAGCATTGCAGGTTTGCATTGCATCAGGACCTTAAGAAGTCTGAGTGCATCTGATTTCACTCAGGTGAGAGAAATGTGGCAGTACTGTTGTTGATGGACAGCTGTGGCTCAGACTGCATGGGAACTCTGTAATGATGTTTCTGACACAAGATTTTATTCCAGCACTAGCATCACATCAGAGAAGATCCTGGATTGCTTTTAAAGCTTCTTAGTTAAGCTTTGGAGATAATCAGGTGGTTATTCATCTTGATACTAGTTCATTTGCAAAGAAGGATGGGAGGCTCAGCACACAAGTAGGAGCTGTTCTTTAATCTCTATCTTTCTGGTCATGAGAAGAAATACAGATTATTTCAATGGAATGCACTACTAATTTTTAGCCTGCTAGGGACAAAGAAATTATCCCTTATTTCTAACAAACAATCCTTTAAGGATTTAGAATTTGTTTCTGGCTTTATTTCTTTGCCTGTGTAATTATTAAAACAAGCATGGCATGGCATTCAGCAGTCTCAAAAATTAAGGAAGCATTTTACATTTTACTTTGATTTCAATTAAAAAAGCAGTTTGTGGTTTTATTTTTGTTTTTTTGCTTTGTTGGGCTTTTTGGGTTTTGGGGTGGGTTTTTTAGGGTTTTTTTGGTTTTTTTGTTTTTTTTTTTTTTTTTAATTTTTTTTTCAACAATAGATATTGTACATGCTTTAATACCTTTTATTTATCCATTTCCTGGACAGGAATTATTATAAGTGAATTTTCTAGGTGTTATTTGGGTTAGGGAATAGTTTTTAGGCTACCCAAGACCTGATTATGTTGCTTCTTTGGAGATTCCTGTGATATACTGATAGAACATTATATTCCTTCTTTTATTAAAATGTTATAAATGTCTATCCTGATGAAATTACTTCTTACTCTTGCATTGTGTAGACTTTGACATAGACAAATTATTTGTCTTAATGTGATTAAATTACAATTTAAAAAAACCGAAATATTCTTCTAATTGAACATTTTAATATTTTAATTAGCCTGAAGGTTCTTTATTCATTACGACAATCAATAAAACACAATTGTCCTATGTCCTGGGAATTGTGGTTGCAGAAAAAATAATGGGGATTGTACCAGAAGGAACACATGAATGGGAGAAATTTGTTCCCCCTGAAGAGCTGGAGCGCCTCCTGGAATCAAGTAAGTTTCACGCCAGATAGTGGGAATGCAGAGAGATATCCAAATGGTCCCTGTAGAAATGAAAAAGGGACAAGTTAGGTGGGGTGAGTGTTAGAAACAATACACAACTTTTCCTGCTTGAGTTAACAGTTGTATATTAAGAGTTTCATTCCTGGTTTAAAGACACTGCTGTTTACTGGATTTTGCAAAAAATAAATTAAATGGAATCCTAAGAATACAGTGATTACTTGAACAAAATCAGTGTTGTAGCTGCCCTCTCTTTAATAGCCTAAATAAAAAATTCCAATGTTTTCCATTGTGTTCTGGTGACAGAATGTATGCTCTGAAGTGGTTCATAAGCTCTAGGTCAGGTTTGAGGAAATAACTGTGTTGGCACTGTGGGGCTGCACTGCTGCCACTGCATTGTTTGTTGCCTTTCCTTTGGGAGGAGGCGTTTTTATTTTTGGTTTGCTGCTCCATGTTCTCCATTCATATTATGTTACTAAAAGATTTCTTCCAAAATGTGAAGATCAAACCTACCACAAACTCATTAGTCAGTTCCTGAGAAACTCTGCGATACTGATTTTAATTATTTCTAATTAAATTACCCTGGTCTGATTGCTTTTAAAATAGACAAAGCACTGAGCTGGGAAGACTTCTGCCCATTGCCCTCCTTCACCACATATGTTTTAAAACCCTCTCACCAAATACTTCACTTTGCTCTAGTTCACTGCAAAGAAGCTGAAGTATGAGTGGAGCTATTCTCTTGGAAAGGTCTTTTCTGGCACTTTGCAGTGATGCCATAAGGAGTATGACTAATACTCGTTCACATACTGGTGGTTCTTTCAGTTCTTCCTTTGAAAGGAGAAGCAGGTGCAGTGGAGTGATTTGTTTTGATAGGGTGTTTGTTTTCTGCCTTCCACCCTGTATCCTGCTGGGACACAGCAGATCCATGCAGTGAACTGAGCTGCTCAGCCGGGAGTGATAAATCATTCTTTTTTTGCATTGAGTCCTTGATGGCATTCATGTGCCTTTTTCTTACATTTTTCCATTCCTAAAGGGAATCTGAAGAATGCTTGAAAAATGTGCTCAGATTTTGATTTTGGAGTGTGTGATGTCTACCTGAAGCATGTCTCCACCTACAGAAAATGTTACAAGTCAGCCAGATGAGGAGGTGTGAGGCTGGGCTTTTCAGCAGAGCCCTGTAGCTGCTGGTGGTGCATGGCCTGGCACAGAGCTGTTGCAGCCACTGTCAGGAGCAGGACCTGCTGTCACCAGTGATGCCAGTGGCACTGCATGTGGGGCCGTCTGACAAAGGCCAACTTCCTCCCCACCCCAGAGGAAGAAGCATGTTTCAGACTTGCAGTTCTAAAGAGCTTGGTGTTGCAGTGACTTAAAATATTTAAGAACATCCGTTGGTTTATATGGCTTCTTTCTTTCCTAGATGGCTTTTCAGTGAAGACCGTGAGTGGGATGCTGTATAATCCGCTCTTGGGCTCCTGGAGCTGGATGGAGAGCACGAGCCTGAACTACGCAGTGCACGCAGTGAAGGCTGGGGCTGGGGCACAGTCACATACCACAGACACCCCGCCAGAGACAGACATCCAGCAGCACGCAGCCACAGCTGGCACAGCTGGCACTGTCCCAGACGGCACCGTCTGACATGTCTGGTGATGGACTGTCACCAGAACAGAAAATGAGCTTTTGCTCAGATGGACACAATAAAACCTTTGTTAACAACAAGCTTCTTGTTTGCATCAATAATACTTGTGCTGTTTTTGGCCAAATATTTAGGGTCTCAAAAAAAATCACATGCCCACTATCTCAGGAATCTTTTAAGATTGAAATGAGCAAAGCTTTTAAAGAATAAAGTATTTTCATTAGAAAGTAGTTTCAAATTGTTGGACAGGGAAATGCAAAGTATTCTCTTGGTAGCTTGGAGGAAGCTTTATTATGTGGTGGCATTTTCAGTCCTGCTGGGACTTGGATCTCCATAGAATAATGGCATGGATGTAGAGTGAGTTAAAAACCACAATGCTGTACAATAAATAAAATGCCTTAAGTATTTAAAATACTCAACTCTGTAATAAGATAGGAAACGCTTAAGATCTACAAACACTTTTTTCTGTAATACACCTTTCTCCCTGAGGAGGGGAAACAAAATAGCAAACCTTTACTGTTTAGTCCTGCTGTTTCTGCAGTTGACATGAGGCAGCCGTGAAATGGAAGAAGAGTCTCTGAGACCAGAGTGCCTCAGCTGTCAAAGCCCCTTCACCATAAAGATACTTGTATCTGTGCCTATTATTCAATATTCTCCCTCTTCCCAAATAAAGAGAAGCTGCAGGGAAAATTTTACTAAGCAACCAGAGCTCCATGCTAGAAGAATGAGACATTAGCAGCTTGTACACAGCTAGAAGGGTGTCTTGTTTTTGTTTGCAGGGGTGAAAATTAAACTTTTTTTCCACTCCTGTTTTTTTCTATTTTAGTTGCTTGTGTATTTCTCCTACTGTAGAGGTGGTGGGCTAAATTAGTTTTTTACACATTTGCATTCTTCCTGCTTTGCTGCATGTTGCCTTCAGATCCAAGTTTCCTGATGGATTTGATGATGCCCAGAAGAATGTAGTTAATTTATAATGTAAATAATAGTAATTCATAGCTGACAAAGATTAAGAAGTAGAATCTGGTGTGATTGCTTCCATGATAGTAAGTTCTGCTTCATAATATTTCTGTGGGCTATAGCTTAGCTTTCAGAAGAAGATTCATGATCATGTTAAAAGTTCAGTGACGAAGAAACCACTACACCAGTAAAATTGTTCCAAAGGTTTACCGTTGAAGTGGTTTAACTTTGGAACCTCACCTCATTTTTACACTTCAGTGCCTCTATGAGCTGCATATGTCACTCCTTAATTTTCTCTTAGATAAGTGGTCTGAGATTATCTCTACAGCTATTACCACTACATGTGAGTTTCTGAGTTCCCATGAAGTTTTGTGGTAAATGTTTCTGGAACATGGCAGTGCAACTGGCTGCAACATTTCATTAATGGTTTCTCTAATGCCATCCACAGGAGGAATACATAATTCCCTGACTGCCTTTCTTTTGGAAAGGAGTCTCTGCTCCATTGGTCATGCATGCAGTGTGGTGCACAGTGTTTAGGAGAGAGTGATGCTGGAAGAAAATGTGGAGTCAAGAGAGAACTAGTGGTTTTTCCTCCTAATTGTGTTCAGGCATGTTAAACCATGTGGCTCCAGTGAGTTCCCCTAACCAAATTACCAGCATCAATCTAAGTTACTACAACTGTATGACTCTTATTTCAAATTTTGCCAGCAGATCTGAAAAGCGCTGAGACCTGGACAGATTCCTGAGGTAGCCAACAAGAAAGATCCCCTAAGAGGCAGTCCGCCCTCCACTGATTTGTTTTGAAACTGTTTTGAGTCAAGTGAAATAAAAATAATGTTATGACTGGTATAGAAAGAACTGATTTTTATTTTATTTAAGAGCCTTAAGTCCAGATGTTTGTGTGACTAGCTGTTATCCTGGCCTTCTCATCCTTTCTGTTTTTCATCATTCAGAATATTTTGAGTTGAGAGGGGGACACAAGGATTTAGTCCAACTCTAAAGTGAATTACTTACTACTTCCTTGTAGTTTTTCATTTAACTGTGAACCACCTGAGGAAAGGGTGTTTTGTTTTTTTTAACTGTCATTTCTATTGCACATGGGACAAAAAGCCATTGATGCTGCCTGGGTTCTCTGTCCAAGCTCACAGGAAGGATCCTGTACCTAATGAACAATGACGGGCATTTTAAACAGGCACACGGACTTGGTTATCCATGGATACCTTTGGTTTTGACAAAAACCTTACCACAAGCACCTAATCTGCTCCTACATGTGTATTGGTGTCCTGTCAATCTGGGAGAGTTTTGAGAACAGTGTGGACAAATGCATTGGGACTGCTTCAAAAACTCCTTGTAACTTTAGTACGTCTCCAGATCTCTCAATAAGCTCCATCCCCAGTCCATACCCCTCAGTTTTTTTCTCATGGGGATTATCCTATTTATTCTGGCTAAATTTCATCCTTCTTTTAAAACAACCTTGTTTTAATGCAGAAATGATAGAATGTGGTAGAAATCATTTTAATGAGATAAGAAACAGTACAAAAATATCTTACACTTGTGAACTGTTTTCGGTGTTTTACATCCCTACCTTTTTCATAAATGTGCAACTGGCGCAGTGTAATCAAATTCACTGCTGTGCAGTGAATATGTACTATGCACTTGTGCTCCAGAAACTTTTATCTTAAAATGTGTGCACAGAAAACCAATGATGTTTTCACACTTCTCTTATCCCAGCTGCTGCAGAAATTTCATAGATGCTATTGAAATGGACAGAATTTAAATAAAATAAATTTGCAAATCTTTTGTCTTTCACTTTGCAACATCTTCATGTTTATGGAGCCACAGATTCAGTGCTTACAGGAACAGTGGTGGTAGGAGGTGAAAAAAGCAATGTAGTTGCAGCAGGCATGCACCTAGGACTAGGGGTGAGGCAAGAAGTGATTCTTGCCTTGAGATAGGGAAAAAAACTGTATTTGGGGCTTGGTCTTTTTCAGCCTCTGTGTTTATTTCTAGTTGTATATCCTTGATTCTCCTGTTACCAGCCATTTATTCCTGCAACAAAACAGATTAGAGTAAGAAGCTGATCCTGCAAAAGGAAAAAAAAAAATCGAGCAGAGCAAACAATGGTGTTCTGGGTGGTCTCAGCTATTCAGCTGTGGTTTGGCTTGTTGTGTTGTTTCATCTCCCCCACATTGCTCCACATGGTCCCGGTCCCAGTCCCAGCTCTTTGCTCAGACTGATTCTTTTCTGAGGTGTAAATATTTTTTTTTGCTTTCTTTCCTTTTTATATTATGTCTCCCAGGGATGCTGCTGGTGGTTGTGCTGTTCAGGGAGCTGAATTTTCCCACTGTGGAGGACTAGTGCCATTTGGGAGGTAAGCACTGGGAATAAATGGACAGGGAGAAGATGGGACAGAACAGCTCCTTGAGGGGCAGTAGGCTTTTAGGTTGCCTCAGTCTGTCTTGTGGAACAGCACATTCAGATAATAATTGAAACATTAATTGTGCTCAAGCCCAACTGGAGTAGTATGAGAGCCTCAGAGGAGATCTGCATTTAATCTCCTTTTAAAATAAAAATACAGCTTGAAGTTTCCATGGTTCCCATTATGCTATCTTATTGCCTATTGTTCCTTTGTGGTCCAGTAACATTTCATGGCCATTTTTGCAGGACTTGACAATTTCCACTAACACCCTGTTGTCAGGTTCCTCGGGGATGGAAAAAAAAAGTGAGAGAAGGGAGTGGGAAAGGAATTGTGCAGCAGCTGTGAGTTCAGATAAGAATAATTAATATCTCGTTGGAAGTTTCTCTGAAAATGGCTTTGGAAGTTTTTCACTATGTTGAAATCTCAGCTTTGATTTAAAAAAAAGGCAACAAACATTTATTTTCCATACACTTTTAATAAATACTTGAAAGGAATAATCTGATGCAGTCTAGAAGTTCAGAAGTCAGAAGACTCAGTGTCTGTAATTAGACAGCCTGATGAAGCAGACTGGAGGAGAAAAACTGCGACAGAACAGGAATTACTATGTGGGTGCTGATACTGTATTTGCAGGGGTTTGAGAGGTGCCCAGGAGTACCTGGAATGGGGGAGAGCATTGAAAAACCAGAAATAGAAGGAGTATGACCAATGCCTGGAAGTATGATTCTGATGGAGAGGAGAAATGTGAAGTAGAGGTATAGAGGGCAGTCTGGTTCTAGTGTGCCTTTGAAGAGGAACTACTGATGGTTGGGAGAGTGGCTCTGTGTCAGACTGAAGCATAAAAGTTCAGGTGCTCACAGCCTCCCACTTGCTTTTGCACATTAACCTCCAGTGCCTCATTCCAAATGCCTACACCCTTGCAGAGCTCCTAGAAGGAAAGGTGGTGACTTACTAATTGTGAGCTGGGGACAGATGTCTCATTCATGGTGTTCTTCAGGTTATAGGACAAAATTCTAATCATTTAAAGTTTGTGCTGATAGTAAACGTTATTTTTATTGACATGTGTTCCACTGAAGCAATATAAAATGTCATGTTATATTCTAGCTACAAGGGCTGGGATTTCACCTAGACTGTAAAATCACCTGACCTGTCTTGACTTACATAAGCATTAATTGCACAGCCACCTCTCAGTGCATTAGGAATTCAAGATTTATACTTTGATGTCCATTTTATTGTGCTTATATTCCCTCATGGAGCCACTCCAGCAATATGATCAATATTAACTTGTTCTAAAAAGATATAATTTTTTTCTTCCTAAGAGGATTGTGATGACCATTAGTGTACCCTTAATAAATCTGAAATCTCCGTTGCATTCTCATGAGGTATGTTAAAAAACAAACCAAACGAAACAAACAAAACTAAAAAAAAAATCCCCAAATAACTTGGAGATTGAATTGCTAACATTGCCTTGTATGGTAGTTGTATTATAAAAACTTACAGTAGAAGATAGATAGAGAAAATGATATGGTGTTTATTTTCCTGACTTAGAATATACACATAGAACCTGCAGACATAAAACAATTGAAGTAAACAAAACATACAGTAAAGGATACCTCAGATGTAAATGAGGTATACCTCCAATGGCCTGTGATGAAGCACAGCCCCAGCACTGAAATATGGGGTTTAATTTCCAGTTTTGCCTTCCAGCTG